GGCCAGGTCCATCGCCAGGAAGTATGTTTGTTGTTAAACAGCAGCCTCTGCAGGTCTGAAGCCTTCTGATGGTCCGTTTTATCTCCTGTCCAGGTGCTACTGGGGTTTCCACGGTCACTACAGCCGGGAGGCGGAGCTTCTGTTTCAGGCGCTGGAGTCCACCTATCAGAAGGCTCTGCAGTCGTACCTGAAGAGCTCAGATAGCGTGGTGTCCCTGCCTCAGTCCGACCGCTCGTCTTCGTCCTCACAGGAGAGTCTGAAGTAAGAGGCCTGCAGCGGCATGCTTTCTTTTTTTCTTTTTCTTTTTCCTAAAGCGCCACGCTTTCTGTGCTTTAAAACTTTATTTAAAGTGGAATAAATTCATTTGTTTTCCTCTGAAGCTACAGTTTTTGTTATAATTTACAGTTAAACTTCAAATAAATGATTAAAACTCTGATTTATTTAATTTAAAACAGAATAAATTCACTTTGTTTTCCTCTGAAGCTGCAGTTTTTGTTATAATTTACAGTTAAAGTTCAAATAAATGATTAAAACTGATTAATTGTATTTCAGTCGGCCGATGTCTGTGAAGAGCGTCATCGGGGGGAGCATATCGAGGAGTGAGTTTGTTTTATTCAGATCCTTTTCTTTCATTTATCAAACATTCAGCTGCTTCAGGACGTTTCAGCTGGGACTGTTGCTATTTCAGCAGGTTTTAAAATGTTGAGCTTTTTGATTTAAAATTAATTCAACATCAATAAAATCCTTTAAAACAGTCGAACGTTTTCTGTGATTTAAGCATTTTCTTCTGGTTTGGTTTTTAAAGTCTTTGTTCTAATTTTAGCTTATTTTTTCTCCTAAAATTAGCTTTTTTCTGCTCTTTAAGCTACTTTTCTGCTCTTTTTCAGCTTCTTTCTGCTAATTTAGAATTCTTTCAGCTGTTTTTTTGCAATTTAAGCTACTTTTTAGTTATTTTCAGCAAATCTTAGGCTTTTTCAGCTTAGTTTACCTTTTTGTAATATTTTAGCTACTTTCAGCTGAATAATTCAGCAAAGATATTCTCTTCTGTTTCTCTGTGCTAGATTCAGCTTTTTCAGACACTGTTTAGCTACTTTTGTGCTTTTTTAAACTTTTTTCGGTTATTTTAAAACAAAATTTAGCATCTTTTCTGTTTTTCTGCAGCCGTCTTTATTCGTTGATGTAATTTTCATTGAAATTTTCATTAAAGTGTTTTTTATTTGGATCACACCAGCTGGGACTGTGCAAAAGTTCTGATCCAGTCCTCAGTTCTTTGCTTTGCTGTCAGTGGTCCAGACTTTCAGGCTGTGTTTTTGTAGCCTTCGGCTGTTTTTAGGCTCGGTTCAGCCGCTAACGATCGGCTGTTTAATGAAAGCTGATAAAGCAGCAGCTCAGGTCTGTTTGTCTKCAGCTCCTGGGAAGCTGGTGGGCTCCAGGGTCTCGTCAGGCTCGCTCCAGCGGTCCCGCAGCGACATCGACGTGAACGCCGCCTCCAGCGCCAAGTCTCGTCTGTCCTCCGTCCCCGCCTCCTCGCCGTTCAGCTCTGCGGCCACCCTCCCCCCGGGATCCTACGCCTCCTTAGGTGAGTCTTTATTTTTACTCAACTCATTTATTTATTACAAGTTTATCTCAGAACTAGAAACTAATGACTAAAACTACTTTTATGAAGATAATGAGTCTAAAGCAGCTGTTTCTGTTATCAGAGTTTATTAATGTCTCTGGTTTCCTCATGTCATCCTTTATGAAATATGAGGCCATTTTCTGGAGCTCAGTGGCTTTTCTGTGCCTGACTTGGATTATTAATGAGTCCTGATGTAGTTATTAGACTGCTCTGTCGACAGGAACTCTCTAAAGTCCACACTGACACATCTGAGCGTTTGAYAAATAGACCTGATGAGCCTGAGTGGAGGGGGCGGAGCTAAAAGTTTCCTGCGGCCCTGCGTTGGGTGGATAACTAACGATGAGCCGTTAGCTCGGCYGCTCGCTCTTCTTCCTGCTGCCACTAATCTGTCACTCTGCCTCTTCTCCCACTCTCTGCTGCGCTGACTTTCTTAAATAAAGACGGCGCTCCTGGTAAAAGCGATGGTAAGGATTGTGTGTCTGTGTGCAGAGGCGCGGCTCGTGTTTGTCGGACATGTTTGCGTCTTCTTCTCCACAGTCGTGTCAGTCACTCTGCATGAACTGTCTGCATGGTTTCCTCCTCTGTAGCTTGTCGTCCTGCCAACAGTTTCACACTGTGAAGCTCCTCAAACCTCTGCAGTCACATTAGACCAGGGCTGCACCATGTTGTGATTTAACATGCAATTATTTTTTAACAACTTCTCAAGTATTTTACAACAAACAGAAGCAATAAATAATCTGTTTTATAATAAAATCAGATTTATTTAAAGCACAGATCACAATAAAGCTAACAAATCTGTGGCTTTACCTTTTCACCTTTGCTAATTTTTCTTGTTTCATGAAGCAGGATATACATATTTTTTATTTTTATTTATTAATTTAATTAAAAAAATAAAATAAAACACATTACATACAGCAAAAAAAAAATTACAAATCAAACAAAATGAAAGGGAGCAGAAGAAAAAAAATATAATATCTGCTCTTA